ATCTTGCGACGTTATCTTCCGCGAAAAGGGTGTACTCCATCTGCGAAATTGATCTTTATGAAGCTGCGTGAAAGAAAAGCTTTCGAAAGGAGTACGTGAGGTGGCAAAAACATCGACGTAAGTAGCCTTAATGGAAAACCTAGATACATCATGCGATTCTAAATGAGATTATGGTACGAATCTCCGAAGGATGGCCAACACTTGTGCTTTATCGCTGTAATATTTTGCAACGACCTAGTAAAAATCATAGCAGCGAACGTTTGACAAATATCTCTTTGTTTAAATTTATAACAAAACTATTCATTAGGACAAAACTTGATTCACTTGCATTCAATGAATTATTTAGTCTATTACATTTGAGTATTTTAGCTAAGCATATATACTCTTAACAATATATGGTGTTTAAATTAAAATTGAATGGCAACTTTGAAGTAATATCGATGTAGGTGTATTTTGTGATATGACATGATTCTTTAATAATTAATGAAATTCAGAAGTTACAAAAATATGTATATGTACATGTACATGTATATGTATATGTATATGTATATGTATATGTATATGTACATGTATGTATATTTATACGTATATGTATACACATATGCATATGTATATGTATCATTGTTAAATGTGAACAGTTATATTATTAAAATGGCACGAATATTAATACTGACAAAATTGGTAAAAAATGTGATGTCACATGTGTATGTACTTTATTTATTTGTCCTGCAAGCTCATATGTTTACTTGCAGTCGTCACTCTGCAATACCCATCACACTCAACGTAATAACTTAGTAACAATATATTAAATCAATAACAATATAACAATATGATATAATGTAACAATATAACATTATAACATAATACCAATATACCATAGTAATTTAATGTTATTACATTTTTTCTTCTGTTCTTTTCTTACAGTAATATTCTGTTTTTCCTTTATTGTCAGTGTCACCCCAAGTTCGTATCCGTTCCATTATTTCGTTTAATTTAACAGGCGGTACACCTAGGTGTATCCAAAATAAAACACGGGAAGAAGTTCATTTCCGGAAGTCGAAGTATGTTAGATAAAAGCGCCTTCTCTCTTGTGTACTCCTTTTCTGTTCCGTAGTAGCCGCCCACGAATCTTCGAAATACGTATTATCTCGAATCCGAAACTGTGTCTGCACCGTGAAATTGTTTCGCTTCTGAGATTCACTGCGCTCACTACCAAGATATTTTTGGTTAGTTACGCGAAATTTGAGTGTTAGCAAAATATGGAGAAATTTCATCATTGTCTTTTTCAGTTTCTAATTTGCATTTTTAGATTTGTAGATTCTTAGATTTTTAAATTTTTGGATTCATAGATATTTCGATTTTTTCATTCTTTATAATTTTCATATTTCTTCATTTGCAAATTTTTTCGTTTACAAGTAAAGTTTTCAAACTTGCAAATTTACAAATCCTTAATTTATTAAACTTCTAAAATTAAATATGAAAAACTTTCGTGTTCTGTTCTCCGACTCTCATGCTTTTTTCATTCTCTCTAAAGCGCAATTGTTATTTTCTTTCATGGAAGCACTGCTTCACAAAAAGGAAATGACACCGGCATCGCTATCCCGATATTTTCATTTCCTCTTCCAAGTACCTCTTGAAATTTTTTATATTCCATTTGAAATAGACAACATAAACATTTATTAGCAACTATTGCATTGTACAAACTTGAAATTTATTAAAACTGTAATATTCTGAAATCTGCTATCATAATAGTACTATACGGAAAATGAAATAAAAATGAATATTCAGGCAAATAACTCTACTTCCGAAGCGTGAAACATTGTTTTGTAATTGCGATGACAGCGTTAATTGTTAAAGCGACCGAGGTTAAGTTTACGAAGAAAGTTTCAGGACTTTTATTTCATTTACTCTTCCCTCATTCTCCCAGCAACTTGTTCCACGTAGGTTTTGCAGTAACTGAAAGAAAAAGGGTACTGGAAATTGCTTAGGCGAGAGAAACGGAAAGGTAACGTTCAAATCGAAAAAAGATGAAAAATGTAAGCTTCTTTCGTCTTGGACAAATTAAATTGCTGACAGTCACTGGTCTGAAGCAATCCCCAACGTTAATATCCACTGTTCGATCAAACTTTCCTTCTATTCGAACAAAATATCTAACTCGCTTTAGATTACTGCGTTTATTTCCTAATTACGTTCAAAAACGAATTACAAAATTTAGCAATCCAGAAATTTAGAGAAGAAGATAGACTTGTTTCTTCGCCAAAAATTCACGAACAGCGACAGTTCTGTGACACCGTGCGTTATCATGTAACAGAAACCGACGAAAGGTTCTGTCGCATTAAGCGCTATAAGTTTACAATTCGTTACTCGATTCCAATAATGATTATTGTGTTTTGTAGGAGAGGTACTATTTTCAGATAAAATATTTTAATAGATGGCGCTAGTTTTCCTTAAATTTAAACAGTTCCATTACTTTTCCGAGATACTATGTACTTAATTACATTCATCATCTTACTAAAAGAATGCTGAGTATGTCAAGACACTGTCTTCCATCAGAAACCAAGTCACAGATATCCTCCCATGTTAATAACCTTATTAGAATTCTCTCACGTGGTGCTTGATACCTCTAAATCTCAATGGCGGACTCAGCCGCCCGTCTGGAATATATGATTAACTCGCCAAAGCGTTTGATGTTGCCAATTCGAGCTCATTTAAGAAGTTACTTATACGAAATTCAATTTCCCCCGACGCAACCTTCTCGATTTGAAACTTACGGTCCCCAAGTAGTATATGTTAATCGAGGCGGTAGTCATGACACAGAATCGTTGCGGTGTCCCTTCGTTATGCTAAATCATAATTGAAGACCCAGATGCCAGGATCAAAGGGTCAAGAGAGACTTTGATGAAGGGCCGCGTATCGACGCACTCGGCTCGATTAGCATCCCTGCCGCTCTAACGTCGGCCCACTTACCGTAATTATTGATCCCACGGGAACATAGGGGCCAGATCTCCGCGTGCCAACTTAATACGTTAACTCGTCAGCAACGATAGGGACTTTCATCGACTGCCGCTAAGAAGGATCACGCGAACATTCGCCTAATTAAAATACGATGTCAAGCGGTTCGCGGGTTGGATGCCAACGACGTCGCCAGAATTCATTTGCAACTGCATTTCTCGGGATCGTCGACGATGAAAAAGTTGTTCGTACGACGTTTTCGATTCGTTCGCGCACCCCCTCCACATACTACTTCCTTTCATTTATCTTCCTCCGGATGGAAAACGCGTTTAATTGGAGATGTCAGAGAAGCTCCGTGAAATTCCGGATCGGAGAGGAATTTTCTTCTCGCCAAATTTTCTGTATTCGAATAATTTTCAACGTTTGACGGCTTCTTTTGCCCCGCGACTTTCTCACCCTTATATTCTAAAATACGAAGACTAGTTTGCTTCTTTTTTTTTTAATTTCTCGAGATTCGCTGGATCTCTAAAACTGTGATATTTTTTCAATTTTGTGTTGTAAGATCTTGATAGTCCATCTGGAACTCACTTTCATTTAAACTGCACAATTGTTACCAAAAATAATTTTAGCATCTCTGCAAAATGCAAGAAATTTCTACGAGAGTTACTTTTACAAGATTTCTAGAACAGTGACATTATAATTTTTATGTAGAGACATTTGAACAGTCGATCGAGGACTTTGATTTTGAATCGGGAATTTGACCTTATTTTGACAGATATCTTAAGATGTTTTAAACAGGGAGCTTAAAGCTCTTAATCCGTCACTGTTCGTGATATTGATCTTGATTGTGTATAAACCGATAACGGTAACCGTCAAACACAATCAAAATCAATCGTGGTAACTTAATCGATCGGACAGCCTTCGTCTGTTGCAGATGGGATGCAAATGCGTTGCACGCAATCAGTGCTGGATTAAGATCTCCAGCGACCTTGTACACTTCAAATATTTCACTTCGTACACATCATTAATACACAATTTTTAATACTCTTCAACAAAATAATTTTTGTTAAGAACGTAATTTTTGTGGAAAGTTCAAAAATTGCGACTGAACATTTCTCAAGTTAATTCCACAACACCGGTGATAAAATAAACGGACTTTTGAACCCTCGATGGTCCAGAACCATCAAAGATACAAAGTTTTGTATCTTGAAAAATTTCTACGCATCTTTGAAACGTTTCAAGCAATCAAGATAGAACGTTCGTTTTTATCGGTGACTTTCCTCCGCGTCTGTAGAAGCGACAAAGAACGATAACCGAACAATACTCGCGGCAAATGTCGGTGATAATGGATCGACTTTGCCGGCACGGTTTCAAGACTATAGTTGAACAGAAACTTTAAAAGTAATACTTCCAACTACCGCGATTGTCAAGTTTGTGCTAACACCTAAGAATTCGATACGCCATCATGGACCGATTTCAGATACAAAATGGCGACTCCGTCACTTCCAGTTGCAGTTGGAACAAGCGATAACTAGCAGTTACCTTCCGCAAAGGATTAAAGTAAAAATAGAAATCCTTAGAACTTTCCTAGAAAAGTAGAAAGGTGTTTTAATTTTTCATGTCCCTTTTCTGAGCTCGAAAGTTAACGTAAATTAACTCGAACAAAAAACAGATTCTGGTGGAACAAAACATCTTTCGAATGATTTGAAACGTTCAACAACACTTGAATGACTAAAATTGAAAACGAAAGGCGGGGACTAACCGAACCTAATATAATATAATGTAACAATATAACCTAATATCGCAACAGAGTAAAACCTAATTAACCTAATTAACCTCATATCAGAAGTGAATAAAAATAATTCCTGCATCTCCGCGAATCAATTTTGTTTATTAGTTAATTCAGCAGTGGATGCAGTCGAACGAAGTGTAGTGGATAGAAACGTAACGTGGGGATGGTACCCGGGTGATTTACGAAACACGTGCGCCGGAAGCTGGTAGTCGGTAGATTTACCGCGGTGTCGATAATCCGACTTTTCTGTTCGCAGGTAAATCAACGGGCCTGGTCACGACCACGAGGGTGACACACGCGACACCAGCGGCTCTTTACGCCCACGCAGCCAACCGTTACTGGGAGGACGACGGCAAAATGCCACATATTGCAAGGACCTTTTGCAAGGATATCGCACGTCAGCTGCTGGAGGACGATCCCGGCCGTAACATCAACGTACGGGATTATATTTCAGCTTAACTGACCGTGTCGCAGATTCTGTGCTCCCTTTACGCCCGTTCCCGGACTCGGTTCTTGAGTCCTCTGAATGATCGGGCTGTCTCTTACGGGTTACTGCTCTGCTATCCTGATTCGACGCGATTCGATGATCCGCAGGGATGTAAAAGTTTGATTTCGTTGGTTTGAATGTCTGCTTACCGGGGCGTTGTATGCCTTGATGGGATCATCTGACGGGGTAGTATTACTATCGCGAAAATTATTCTTAAGAATTGGAGACTGCGTGGTTTTTGGAGATACTATCTATTGCATTTCGGTGTTTATGTGGTTCTGGGAAGTTCGAAATTTCACTGTTTAGGATAACATTGAAAAATTAAGCTTAGTTGAAAATTAAAACAATTTTGAAAAATTTGATAATGCGACAACTTGACAATGCGACAATGTGACAATTTGATAAGGCGACAATTTGACAATGTGACAACGTGACAATGTGACAATTTAACAACTCGACAATTTGACAATTTGACAATTTAACAACTCGACAATTTGACAACTCGACAATTTGACAATGTGACAATTTAACAACTCAACAATTTCACAATTACAAATCGAAGAAATAAGAACTAGAAAGTAGTGAACATAATTTAAGAATCCAAATAATTTTCAAACTTGGAAATTCTCGCAAAGTTTATCAAACCAAATTAACGAAAGGATTTGCCTCGTTAATAAATATTTCCCCGTCGAAACGAAGATTTTATTCAAATTAAATCGCAGCAGCACGTTCGTTTCTATTGGATATATGAAAGTCGATTCGAAAAAACGAATAACTTTTAACAACTGCTATTCCACAGCAACGACCAAAAGTATATCAAGTATTAATCTTCTACATTCATTTAACAGTATGTGTACTAGTATGAAAGATAAAAGAAGAGACAGAACACTGAAGTTTTAAATCGCAAATGTTTATTTAGCAAAATCAGAATGTTTCCAGAGGCAAAATGATCCGAGGCATTCGGCAACCCAGTTCATCATCGCGAGCATAAAAGCGAAAGAAATAAAATCGAGCTGATAAACGGTCAGAATGGAAAAATTAATTTCTGTTCAACGAAGTATTTTGTGAATAAATTTTCACTAACGTAGTTTTATACTACAAATATTAGATGAAGATAAGCACGGTAAAAGAATATTTGGAATAAAATAAACAACAAAAGTAAAAAGTTTATTTAATCAGTAAACTTTGATTACTTAGACGTTATTATGTATGCTGTGACGCGAATTAGAATTGAATCTTCAAATTTTCTGGGTATTTTCCGGAAATACTCGAACTCGGCATACTTTCTCAACTCGAAACTTTATCCAGATCAATGACTTCCGTTCCGCGATTGCTTTGAATCCGGTATCCCCTTTCAGAGTTTCGGTAGTGACCCTCGTGTCGACCACTTCGAAACTTCCGGTACCTCGTTAAATCCAAGAACGAACTAAGATAAGCTTCTTCCCGTTTCTCTGTGTAATGGAATCCCTCAATTGTATCGGGAGGACTTTGCGACAATAATGCAAAGTCGGAACGAGTCTTCTCGCGGTACAGCCGTGAACCAATCGTGCGGGTTCAATCAATGGAGGTTCGATTTTTCGGAGGGTCAATTGGTCCACGGGGAATTACGATGACATTTCTCCACGGACATAACTCCAGGAAAAAAGATACCGTTTGTCGAAATTGGCTGACTTTTTCTAGGAAACTATGCAAAAGTTTTAAATTGTTAAAGTCGGATTAATCGAAATCACTGTGTAGATTTTATGACGAAAAGATTACTTTTGGATAAGAAAAGGATTGGAGGAATAAACGGTGGAAATTATTACTTTTGGGAAATTCTGAATAATGCGTACGGTTTTTAAAATTTTTGTAATTTTTCAAATTTAGAAATTTTCAAATTTCTTATTCGTTTCTGGACTTGAAAATTTATTTAGGGCTGCGATGATTTTTAGTTAGTGTATCTATAAATTTCTAGATTTCGAATCTTGTAAAATTTCGAGTGTCTAAATTTTTTAATTTAAGGACTTGACATTTTTATAGTTTCATCATTGTTTTTTATTTTTAATATCTTAGCGATTGGTTTACATATTTGAACACGTGTCATTTTCTCATAATACTTTCCAGTTATAAATTAAATTTTATAACACTTTAATATCACAATAATCCTTACAAAATTTTTCAAAAATAAAAATCATAATTTTTCACTTAATTACTTACACATTATTTAGATATTTAAATATTTTACCTTACGTTTAACGTTCTCTCGACATAATTCGAATAACATGCTCAAATAACAATTATTGGAATAACAGTTTACTTTACCAGATGTTATTTGAAATAATTATGCGCCAGTTTATTTTGACATGAAAATGATGTTCCTCTACGTTATTGTATTATATCCAAACGAAGTCAAATAATTTGTTGTTTAATTTCTATGTGTTCAAACGTTATATATTGACGCAAATTAATTAAATCAATTAGTTAAATATGAATTGATGTAAATGTTGATTATAACCGAAAGATCGTCTGAATACCATATTATAATAACTTAAAATAATGAAGTTTCTGTTCCTTATACGAAGCATTTTTTACGTAAATTCGTTCGCTTCAGAAAATTTCATGTTTCGTTACATCAACGTCGAAAGTCTTTCGCAAGTTCGTGCTTCGTAACTTTATCAGCATACATGTTTCTTAATTGCTCGCTTAGGAGAACGGGACGCTGATGATCTCGACTTATATCCTTCAGTTCCTTGAAATTGCAAAATATCCTGGCGCAGTCATGCTTTAAAAATATTTTGCAAGAAAAATTTTAACAAATTTGAAGTTTTGACAAAATTCGTTGAAGGTAAAATTTGAAAGATATCGTACGACACTTAATTAAGTAAAACTACAGCGATGATATTCCATTTCTCAGGCTTCTCTTTCGTAGAAAATTTCGTGTTACAGATTTTGATAAATTAGTACATTAAGTTACACTCTGATTGCAAGGAAAAAGATTTTTGTTCCGCCTTCCATTTTTCTTTCAAGCATGAACTAAATCTTAACATTTCCTAGAATATTCAGTTGCATTAATTATTAACAGTTTCAGTATTCAATTTAATTAAACCATGGAACATTTATATTGCAATCTTCTCAAAAATTACGTTTTGAAACATTTCATAACATTTAATTCCGACTTAAAAACAAATAATCGAAAAGAGGGATTGAATTTTAAATATTTGTATCAATTGTTTGAAAATTGCGATAAATTATTGAAGGATCAAAAACATAATAACGAACACGGTATTCCGAGATAATGAATGATAGAGTTCAGTTTTATTCTATAAAATGTTATTTCGAAAGCTATTATCATGTAGTCCGCGCATGTTTTCCCCTGGCCACGTGAAAATATAAAAGCATGTAATGTAGGTTATGCGCTCACGATCGTGTTTCCATGCAACTTCTATTTCAGGCATCGAAAAAAACAAAAGCTGCAATCACCGAAATGGAAAATCTCACATTCAACGAAAAGAACATTTCTCTTCGGTTGACTTTGAAATTCTGCAAAATTGCTTCGGGGATCGTGTTTTCTGATGGAACGCAAACACATATGTCAGAAGAACATTCGAAAATATCAGGAACGAAAATGAAAAGCGGCCAGAGTGGTTGGATCAAGTTAAATCCAATTTTACGATCCTGTGCGTACCGAACAACGCTAGTAATTATCGATAATTACCTCGTTAACGAGAGAACGATTCCTCGATGATTTTCATAACTGAAAGAAACAGTGGTAACTACTTTGATCACTAAATTATACTGCTGAAATAAAGATAATTCAATTTGAAACAATAATTTGTTCATTATCGTGTTTCAAGTTTAAATACTTTTATTTGAATCACGAATACATTGGGTGGCCAAGATGAAAGCTCCGGACGTTACGTGACTCCTCTCGAGCGCGCAATTCAAATATCACGCGCGGTAATATACAGAAAATTGATTACAAATATATTTCAAATTATTAGTGGTCGACATGAAAGTAGATTTGCTCTATTTAAATTTCCCGCTCGTTTGTACAACCAATTTAAAGGAACGTTTTCGAGAGATCAAAGGTGCCGGCAGAGAGTGTCTGTTTACTCTGTGGTATAACTTCGGGCCTCCTTTATCTTCGCCTGCAAATAACTTTGTCCAAGAGTTAACGAACATGAGAAATAATTAGAAGCTGCATTTTCTGTTATATAATTATATAATTCAAACATTTGTTTCAAACTTATATGTGTGGGAATTAATTATAAGCTTTTCTGAAACTGAATGTTGAGATAACATTTCCATTTTAAAAACTCGAAGATTACGTTCGAATGAAATCAATTTATCGCATTGCAATTTATACAACTGTAATATTAAGACAATAACAGTGATACAAATAGCAGTTAATTTAACGTAAATCCATTATAATCTTACAAACAGTCATTGCATAATCATACAATCGTTATCTAAATCGTAGAAGAAGGTATTTTATTTTTAATCTACTTAACAAACAACTCAATAATTCCTACAATTTCGTTTGTGCTGTAAGATATCTTGAAAAAATTGAATCGAATTTAAGCAATAAAAATCAGCGACAGTCGTTTCATCGATCCGACTTGATCTTTTACATTCGCCCTCGAAAAGATTGGGAGATTGATTTCCGTGAATCTGTCTCGAAGCTCCGAATGCTCGATAAAATGTTCCGAGTTTATTACTCGGAATCCGGTTTGATCCGTCTTTCGATAAAATACTCGGCAATAAAAACACGATTTCTCATAGGTGGTGCTCGGAGGGGGCCGGCGCCATTTCGTGCCGAAGGTGACCCCGGATCCGGAGGAGCCGGATAAAGATGGCAGACGATTGGACGGAAGAAATTTGATCGAAGAATGGTTAAGGAATCACCGGCTACGTAATGTGACCGCGGAATACGTCGCCAACAAGGAACAATTCGAGAACGTGGATCCGCGGAAAGTCAACCATCTGCTAGGTAACGGACTGATATGATTTTCTTATCGTGACGATCGATATCGCTTGCAGTTGCAACGCTGGCGAACCTATAGCTCTCGTAAAGTTCGTAGGATTAATATTCAAATTTTATACCCGGTGATCGGAAGTTGAAATGCTTTAAAAACTTCGACTCGTAAATATTTTTAAGTACGAAAGTCGGAGTACTATTGTAGATACTTATAATGGATTGTTTATAGGAGGACACTCGAGAATAGAGAGATTTGGGGAATGCATTTGGGTATTCGGGTATATGGGAATGTAGTTATTTGGAAATGGAGGTTTGCAAATTTTGCTACGGATATTTATGAGTATAGGAAGTGGGAAATATGCAGTATGTAGGGATTTAAAGCGTAAAAATTTATGATGCTGGGATTTAGAAGTAAAGTTTGGGAATTCAGAATTTCGAAAACTTGCGATTTATAAAAATTTATAAAAGCACTTGGAAATTTAAGACTGAATGAACATACATGTGTTATTTTTCCATAAATTTTGCATATGTACGCGAAATTAATTCTACAAAATTTGTTATCCAAGTAAAAACGAATCGGTGCGAGGGAGTTTATATCCGCCATTAGGGAACACGACATAAAGGTTATTGAAATGAATTGATAACCAATAGCGTTCCTTAATATCAACTCTTGCCGAAAATCAACAGCTTTGGTCGATATACCCGGTATAATCTCAAATTCAAACGTTATGCTTGCCATAATTAGGGCGAACTATCTAACAGCCACCCATATTAAAGGATTAATGCAATCATGCACGATCAATAACTATTCGACGTTATATAGCTCATAAGCTGTAATCGTTTAAGCCGTGTTATTCCTTTCGTATTCGCGTCATTTCGCATGGTATAAACTAGCGAATAAAATCTGCGTAATGGCGGACCGAATTAAACGTCCGCAACTATTTGCATAGAACACACGAGTACGTTTATGACAATTTCTTGGAATGAATTTGATGAATAACTTTGTAACCGGGAATTTAATATCATCGTACTTGGAATTTGTGTCTGCTGGAGAATGCCGGAAATATTTAAGGAAATATACCGAAATTAAGCAGGTTATTCTCGTAACTGCATGAAATGGATTACACGCTTTAATCACGCTTTGAGTTACTCAAATGTCGGAAGGTGTATTATTTTAAAAGAAATAACTACCTTTCAGTAAGAAATGGTATGCGTTAATGAAGGGAGATATAACGAAGAGTTGTATATGATATCATTTATTTATTTATAAATACTGAAAAGTTAGTTTGTAGTCGTCAAAGTGTACTCAATTACCTCTTTTAATAAGCTGTTATATATTTTTTTTTATAGCTTACAAATTTTAAATATAGCTTAAAAATTTTCAAGTGTCTTTCCAAACTTCAAAAATTGCCGGATTTCTGAAGCCCTAAATCAAATCCTTCAGTTCGTAAATTCCCAAATTTTCCAACTCCCAAATCCTCTATTCATAAAATCTCGAATCTCCGAATTCCTAAATCCTTAAATTCGTAAACTCAAAAATTTCAGAATTCTCAAATCTTCAAATTCGTTAACTCCCAAATTTCCCAATTCCCAAATCCTTAAATTCGTAAACTCCCAAATCTCCGAATTCTCAAATCCCCAAAGTCGTATAATTCCAAATTTCACAACTCCCAAATCCCCAAAGTCATAAAATCCCAAATTTCACAACTCCCAAATCCCTAAATTCGTAAACTCCCAAATTTCCAAATTTCCAAATCCCCAAAGTCGTATAATTCCAAATTTCACAACTCCTAAATCCCCAAAGTCATAAAATCCCAAATTTCATAACTCCCAAATCCCTAAATTCGTAAACTCCCAAATTTCCAAATTCCCAAATCCCCAAAGTCGTATAATTCCAAATTTCACAACTCCCAAATCCTCAATCCGTATAATTCCAAATTTCACAACTCCCAAATCCCCAAAGTCATAAAATCCCAAATTTCACAACTCCCAAATCCCCAACTTCGTAAACTCTCAAATTTCCGAATTCCCAAATCCCCAAATTCGTAAACTCCCAAATTTCCCAATTCCAACATCCACAATTCGTAAATTCCCAAATCTCTAAGTTCCCAAATTCCCAAACTAAACCCCAAAATTTCCAAATTGTCAAGTCCCTAAATTCATAAACTCCCAAATTGTCAAATGATTCACCATAATTACTTTTGCACCCCAAATTGCGTACTATTTCTTAAGATCAAATCACATTGGACGATATTTTCTCGAAATCGTATAAATCAGTATTCTTGTCGCGAAATATTCCTCTCAGTGCAATCTCAGAAAAGAAAACAGAATTCTATCACGAATAAAAACGAATTGATAAAAGTTAGTTTGTTGAAACTTTCCTGATTCGCCATCCCATGGCATTCGATGATTTCAGGTCTGTTTTCCTATAACCACATGGACTTCAACGTCGATCGAAACACGAACGGAAGCGGCGACCCTTCGCTGGCCGAAATGACGATAAAAGCGCTTCGTGTACTGGCGAAGAATCCCGAGGGATATTTCCTCTTCGTAGAAGGTACGTAAAGACGAACAAACGGACTTGGTCCTCACGAAACTGCGTATATAAGAAAACGCGGAGGTGCATCTTCACGATAATTCGCCTTTTCGATATTCCATCGTGCCGTTAAGGGCGAAAAATTTCCTTTGAAAGCGGAAAACTGCTCTTGAAATATCTATCGGATTTGAATGGTTCGAAACTGACGGATTGTAGCCAATTTCGTTTTATTGGAAATCACTTTTTGCGACACCCGCGATTTACTTTAACGTCGGCTGTTGTGAAACTTTGTTTGTTTACCCGGCTTTTGAGATTTGGAGATTTAGGAAATTGAGAACTTTGGATTAGGGGAATTAGGGATTTTTGGAGGATCGAAAACTTTAGGATTTAGAAATTAGTGTGTTAATAGAGTTAATAGTAAATTAAGATTGAACCGAGTTAATAAGGTTAAACACTAATAGTTCATTAAGGTTTAATAATAAATTATATAGAATATGTTTCTCATGTACGAAAGCAACTATCGAAGTTCAAGATGGCGGCACACTGACATCTTCCCTAATTTCTTCATCACTCTATACATAGAATCAAATTGAAATCTTGTTTTCGTAATAGTAAACAGTAAATTGTACAAAATACCAAGTTGTTCATGTACGAAAGCAACTATCGAAGTTCAAGATGGCGGCACACTGACATCTTACTTAATTTCTTCATCTCTCTATACATAGAATGAAATTGAAATCTTGTTTTCATAACAGTAAACAGTAAATTGTACAAAATACCAAGTTGTTCATGTACGAAAGCAACTATCGAAATTCAAGATGGCGGCACACTGACATCTTACTTAATTTCTTCATCTCTCTATACATAGAATGAAATTGAAATCTTGTTTTCATAACAGTAAACAGTAAATTGTACAAAATACCAAGTTGTTCATGTACGAAAGCAACTATCGAAATTCAAGATGGCGGCACACTGACATCTTCCCTAATTTCTTCATCACTCTATATAGAACGAAAATGAAATCTTGTTCTTAGAATAATAAACAGTAAATTGTATAAGATACGAACGTGTTCATGTACGAAAGCAACTATCGAAATTCAAGATGGCTGTACACTGACATTTCCCCTGATTTATTCATCTTTCGCGCAAGCTCGTGAAAAGATCTGTAATCACGAATGCCTCGCGTAGGCACGGAACTCAGATCTTTTGACTGGAATAAGATTGAGCTAATGCTCTAGAGAGTGTTCCTTCTGTGAATAGGGAAACACGAATTTCCTACGGGAAGATTGAGTCAGCGTTCCATACTTTATCGAGTTTATAGCTTTCCACCCCTTGATAACCGGTGTGTACATCTCACGTTCTTACATTGTCAGTAAAGGCGTTTCCTCCTTTGGCGCGATCATATTTTTCTTGTTTCGATCGGAAAACGCTGATTCGGGGATCCTTTTGATATGGATAGTTCGCTATCTGGAGACGGAATAATAATTGTCTCCTTAAATTAAAGGTTCGGATAGCTGATTACTCGTTCGAATTTCATCCATATATTGGTATTAACCTAGTTTCTGATGAAGAGAATTTTACGGGATTAGTAGCAGGTGGGATTATCTACGCATCTACCTTATTTGTCATTGTAAGAAAGAACTTGTGCGGATAAAATTAAATATTATTTCACGAATATTTTTCATGTTATTCATGTGAGAGTTTTTTAAATATTTGTTCTAAAACGTCGATGTACATGAACAGGAAATATACCTTTAAAAAAAACTGATATGATTTTGGGAACGTGAAAAAATTGTAGAACGTGCAAACTTGCAAATATTGTAAAAATCGTCAATGTACGAAAAATGGTAAACCTGAAAATATTGCAAAAATTGTCAATGTACAAAAAATGGTAGAAATTGTAAACCTAAAAATATTGTAAAAATTATAAATCTACAAAAATTGCAGAATCTGTAAACCTCAAAAAATAGTAAAATTGTCATTTAACAAATTTTTTTCTGAAGTCAATGATATGAAAATCATTCGAAATGGTAATAAATATAATTCCTCCGTGTAAAAGGACGAATAAAGTCCTTTTAATAACATTTTAAGACAATCTACGAGTTTCAAATTTACATACATATATCAATTCCGTGAAAAAATATTAAAAAAGTATTGAAGTACAATAAAAATATATTTCTTTGCAATGAAGACGCGAGAGCCAATACGAAGCACAGGATTTGAAAAATCCACAGATTTTCTTTGACGCGAACGAACTAATAAAGGATGCATACAAAGAGATGACAAAGAGCATGTAGTTCATAATCTTTTCGATCGATCCGTGCGATAACTGAAATTTATCGTAGAACGGAATCTACGAAGCGTTCACGTGTCGCTGATAACTATAAAAGAAATGAAGTTCGTGTAATAAACCGCTGAAAATGAAAATCTGTCCGTATTTCAGCTTGTTCACCCGATCTAATTCTGACTGCGCAAACGCGTAGTAACTTTTCTCTCATAAATCAGTCGACCTTTGTGCTACCGAACTTCTGATTAATTTCCTAGTGCGAAACCAATCGATTTCACTTCGCAAATTGTGTTCTGAATTCGTTGGGTTGTTCTTCAATTAATATACGATATACTTTGTGATTTACATCGTTTGTCAAATACAATTAATCTTTGACACGTGCGATACAATTAAATTCTACATTTATTCGCTGCAATTTTTAATACTGAAAGCATTTTCAATAATACTCGTGTTTTAATTATTTTGAAGCATGCATTTCCATTTAGGAACGTGTTTACAAAATTACGGAAAAATTGATTTTATAGAATTATAATGAAATTAGAAGAAAGACATGTGGGGACTGTTGGAAATGATATAAATTAATTTTTTGAATTAGCTTCGATTATGAGATTATAAGTAATCTTTTGCATGATGTACTTGATCGGTCAAATTTATCGCGGTTTTATCAAAATGGCGCTCGCTTCTTCTATCGTTTTCCTTTTGCACACTCATTTCTATTTTTGCGGCTATTATATCAAAAAACGTTGTTAACTGAAACAAAGTGGTTTATTAGTATACTCTATTTATTATTTGATTCATTATTTATAGCACTAAACTGATTTTTTAAATATAAATGTAAAATTATCTACGTTTCATGTCCTATACCTTAAGTAATATTTTCAATATAATACAATATTAATTTTATTGAAGTAACATCTTAAAATAAAAATAGACTAAGTACGAATTAAAAATAGCTAACAAGAAAATAAAAATATGTGATCACCAGGTATAATAAAAAATTGTGTGCATGCACTGTGTATTAGTGTCTGCATGTTTTTAAATCTGCTGTCTATTTAATTTAAAATTTCTCTATTAAATAAGAACCAATAAATTTTATTGCTCTGACGCAGTTTCATTATCAGAGACTAGCACGACCATCGATTAATCGACTATACTTTGAACTTCTGCCTTGAAGAGTTGCGCTTGTTTCGCTGTCGATTCTCATCTCGCAGTTTATAATAGACGTTGAAATCTAGATCCGTCGAGTAAAGTTTCCTGGGGCGCAACAACTGTTGCTCTCGGTTGGCAGCTGGGAAACACACACCCTCTTTGACAAATTTTGACACAATATGCCGCTCTCAGCGCCGATCGAACCCATCGAGAACCCATCGTCCTTTCACCCCATTGTCGTGCGTACACCAAGATTCCAACAACCCCCGGTTTCGCTGTTGGAGTACTTCACTTGCACAACTTTAATCATGTTTCACGGAGTTTCGTCTTCTAACCCTACTTTCCGATAATCAATCGTCTTGAAACCGTTCAATGCTTTTCTGTAAGTTTCCTACTTACTACTTACTAGCGAGTTTAATTACGACCAAGTAGATTAAGTATGACAAATTTGGAAATTGAAGTATCACGTTTTTAAAATTTTCAAGTTTTTAAATTGGGAATTTTCAAACTTTAGGAATTGGCAATTTTCAGGTTTATGCATTTTTAAATTCTTACGAGTATTTATAAATTGAAACATAATAATAATCTTGAAATTTGCAAATTTAGGAAACTTCATTATTCATTAGTGTCCGCGAATGTCACATGTACGTCTATCTATATGAAATATTAAACAGTAGCCATTGAAAATTCAAAAGCACCTCAATTACTATGATTAATCGAACGCTTTAACTAAGCGTTATATAAATAACGCAGGATTGGGTTAAATTAATTTTTCACCTTCTTCATTTAATAATAATTGACGACAGTTTCTACTTGTGTTCGATACAGTAATTCAGTTTTACAAAATTTGCAGAATAGACAAATATTTTTAAGTACATGCAACAAACACGAACCTAACCTATAACATTCTAACCCCTAATTTACAAGCGTGTAAATTACATACAATAATTGTAATCCAGATTCAAAAACGTTCAGAATATTCGTCGGTATTTTACCACCCAAAAAAATATTCGCAATAAAAATGTTTTCAATCTCTCTATCGCTTTTAATCATTTTACCAGAAACGACTTTTTGTGCAACGAACATGGAGGGCAGTTAAAAAAGTTTGTCGATACGAGAAAAAAGTTATATTTTTGCTCGTCTGGAAGTTACTCTATTTTTACCGAAATAAGAGCAAGTATTTTTAACAAAATTGTGGCATCTGTCGCGGTGCTTAAAAAAAAGTTGGCTCAGGATGCTTCTTCCTTCGTCGTTGATTTTGCAACGTCTTATCATCTCTTGTGCCATGTCGAGAGGCCACTTCCGCCATCATGTTTAGAAGCACCAAGAGAGAAAAAAAGCTGCTAGATAAAAACCCAGAACTCGAGAATTAAAGTGGAACGATTGAAAAGAATGATTTCGTTTGCTTTTGATTATATTGCTGATCGGCTAGGCTTTAATTTGCTTTTGTATTTTTATGTTGCGGTGCACAAGGTTTTGGGTCTTTGGATTTTTAAATTAAGCTCACGAATTTTTAAATTATGAAATTGTGAAATGGTAGAATGGTAAAATATTTTAATTCCAAAATCCGAAATTCTAAATTCCAAATTCCAAGCTTCCGAAATTCTAAGCTTCAAAAATTCCGAACCTCCGAAATTCCAAACTTCCGAAATTCCAAGCTTCCGAAATTCCAAGCTTCCGAAATTCCAAGCTTCCGAAATTTCAAGCTTCCGAAATTCCAAAGTACCGAAATTCCAAATTTCCGAAATTCCAAGCTTTCGAAATTTCAAGCTTCCGAAATTCCAAAGTACCGAAATTCCAAGCTTCCGAAATTCTAAACTTCCGAAATTCCAAACGTCCGAAATTCCAAATTTCCGAAATTCCAAGCTTCCGAAATTTCAAGCTTCCGAAATTCTAAAGTACCGAAATTCCAAGCTTCCGAAATTCCAAGCTTCCGAAATTCCAAGCTTCCGAAATTCCAAGCTTCTGAAATTCCAAACTTCCGAAGTTCCAAACTTCCAAAATTCCAAGCTTCCAAAATTCCAAGCTTCCAAAATTCCAAGCTTCCAAAATTCCAAACATCCGAAATTCCAAGCTTCCAAAATTCCAAAATTCCAAAACTCCAACATTCTCAACTTCTCAATCTCCAAAATTACCAAACCCTCAAACTCTCAAATTCTCGAATCCTCAAATCCCCAATTCTCCTAATTTATATTCACATAGGTAATCGAATTCTTTTATTTGATATATTACTTCTATTAATTTTTTTCACGATTTAAACCTCCGCATTGCTCTCTATAGCGCAAAACCCTTTTCGAATGAAATACCCATACAACAGCGATATACGTGTAAGATTTATTGAATCGGAGCATTCTCGAATTTCAAACAAAAGACCATCGTATCACATAGTACACATACCATACCTATCGTTCCTATCACCCACACCACGCACATATTCACACGAATTTATGATAGATCGTATGATATTTATTTATAACGTAAGCACCCATTGAATTACGAGGTTATCAAGCTGTATCTTTTTTTACCTGTCATTTTCCGCTTTTTATTTAATCTTATTTGACTTACTATATTTAACCTCTTTTGGTTATATCGCTTTAAACCGCTTGTATATGTTCTGCAATATTTTATCATTTTTTTTCAAACTGTGTTCTTCTAAGTTTCAAAGTTAACAAATCTCTAGACCTTTAAATTTTAGAATCAATAAATTTATATATAATATTTGTAAATTGGAAAGTTTGAAAATTAAGGTTCTATATTCACCATTCAGAAAATTTTTAATTTCTCATTTTCTAAATTTGCAAATAATCATACTTCTAAGTGTGAAAAATTAAACATTTACGAATTGGAAAATTCGTAGATTCGAAAGCTTCAAATACATGCATTTCAATTTTTTATAAATTTCAAGCTTTCAGTTTTCTAATTTTATATTTTCACAATTTCTTGACTAACAAATTCTCCAATTTTTTGAATCTCCACCTGGCAAATGCCTTCTTTAAAAAAGTCCATATTCCCATAACTTTTTAATTAATAAATCGTAAATTCCTATAAGCGAATAATAAGAATATCTCTGTGATAGAAAACTATTCGACAATTCTGTTTCCACAACCGCTACTCGCAGTTTGCACGTCGTTGCCCGTGAAATTCTTCGGTGGCCACTTGATGTGCCACGCTGATCGTCCGTAAATAGCTTGAAACTTTCAAGTTAGGGTCTCCAATAATCTATTGGAGCTGACGGCATTTGCTGGCTCGATAATTGAATTCGGGATTCTTGTGGGTCGTTCCGAATAATTAGCGTTAACTGTGATGGCCACGGTGCTTTCGTAAACGCGAGTTCAATGGTAATGCTGATGACGCTCGTTCACGTGTTTCGTATTTGTAATTCTGAAGCAGTTGCCGCGTCTTCTTGGTTTCTTGATGACTCTATGCTGTATACGGTACGGACGAGCTTAAACTTCTTCGAAATTAATCGAACTTGGGCATATGCAGATTCGGACAGTAAGACTGTGTCGATGTTCTACGTTTATTACGTGCAAATTGTCTGCGATTTGGGGTAAATCGTTTACATAGTAGTTACTTACAATTTTATACAAATTTAAATTTAGAATTTTTTAGAATTTTATATTTTATATAATTTTATACAATTTTGTACGATTTTGTACGATTTTGTACAATATTATACAATTTTATACAATTTTATACAATTTTATACAATTTTATACAATTTTATACAATTTTATACAATTTTATACAATTTTATACAATTTTATACAATTTTATACAATTTTATACAATTTTATACAATTTTATACAATTTTATACAATTTTATACAATTTTATACAATTTTATACAATTTTATACAATTTTATACAATTTTATACAATTTTATACAATTTTATACAATTTTATACAATTTTATACAATTTTATACAATTTTATACAATTTTATACAATTTTATACAATTTTATACAATTTTATACAATTTTATACAATTTTATACAATTTTATACAATTTTATACAATTTTATACAATTTTATACAATTTTATACAATTTTATACAATTTTATACAATTTTATACAATTTTATACAATTTTATACAATTTTATACAATTTTATACAATTTTATACAATTTTATACAATTTTATACAATTTTATACAATTTTATACAATTTTATACAATTTTATATAATTTTATATAATTTTATATAATTTTATACAATTTTATATAATTTTATATAATTTTATACAATTTTATATAATTTTATATAATTTTGTATAATTTCATATAATTTTATACAATTTTATACAACTTTACACAGTATTATATAATTTTATATAATTTTATACAATTTTATATAATTTCATACAATTTTATACAATTTTATACAATTTTATACAATTTTATACAATTTTATACAATTTTATACAATTTTATACAATTTTATAAAACTTCATACAATTCCATACAAATTGTATACAATTTCATACAATTTTATACAATTTTATAAAACTCCATACAATTCCATACAAATTGTATACAATTATATACTTATACAGTTTGCAATCAATTACATGCAACATAATAATATACACTTATACACAAATTATACATAGTTACAGAAAAATTAATTATACACAGTTACATGCAAATTAATCGTGCACAATTACATAAAATTACATACAAGGCCAGTATGTAATTATATGTATATACAAATTATACACATTTATATACAAATCAGTAATATGCATTTTCATTAAAAAAATGAGGGTGGAAAATTCTGTGTCGTCCTAAAAGCACAGCTACTGAATCTCCTCTCCATTTTCAAACTACACGAAAAGTTTTGTATGTTTTAGCACGGTGCTTTTATTCAAAAATGCACAACGATGCACTTTCCGTAATTATGTTACCACTGAGATGACGTTAAAAATTGACAATAGCGAGTTAATGCAACGTTGCATTAGAATACCTTTTGATAATTTCTACTAATCGCTTGCGAAAGGTTTTGCATGTAATGACCTGATTATTTTGAAATTCGAAGAAATTCTGTTCGTTTTGCCTTTTTAAACCTTTCTGAGGAGTTTCACTTCTTCAGCTGTGATTTTACTGAAATTTGAGGTTCAAGTCAACTTTGCATAGTCAACGACCGATACCAAATTGACATAACAACCTTCTATCTGTTTCAATATTGTAGCTACGGCTAGTTCTAACGCACCTAACAAATAAAACATAGTGCAAGGGTTTAGTGTCAAACATCCTGCATTCAATTTTGAATTAATTCACAAAGTCCCACATACTATTTATGTTACTGTGTCACAATCAGACATCGGATGTTTGCGTATTTAAATCGGTGTTTGCAAACATAACATAAATCACGTAACCAACGTACTCGATGTCAGAAGTGACATGATTTATTCTGTAAGTTCATAATTGATACGCAGTCCGGTGATAATGTTTGTACACAATCCGATGCATTATTTATGTGTATCCAGGTGGCAGAATCGATCATGCGCATCATCATAACAACGCGTATCGAGCACTGGACGAGACATTATCTCTGGAGGAAGCAGTAAGGGCCGTGATAAAGGAAGTCGACTTATCAGAAACGCTCTTAGTTGTGACGGCAGATCATTCGCATGTACTTACGCTTGGTGGTCTCGGAACACGTCGTGGAAATCCTATATTCGGTAAGTGGATCTATAAGTCACTATCTGATACTACGATTAAAATGATCGATCGAACTGATACGCTCAGATACCGTACACATAGTTATTCACTTTGATTTTAGATACTGTTGTCGAGTCACTCAAAAGTTGATTTTAAACATTTTATTTCTTCAAGCTTATGTAAGATTCGGCTGAAAATACAGGGTGTCTTACAATTAGATCTCTGAAATGGGGGGTAGCTGACGTGATTCTGAATAAGATTTCCCTTTGCAGAAATGGGGTTTGAAGCCTTGTTTTTGAATTATTAAGAAAAAACACGGACCAATCAGAGCGTGAGGATTATTACGCGTTGGGTTACTACGCGTTGGTTAACTACGCGTTAGATTATCACGTGTTAGATTCCTACGCTTAGAATTACCATGCGTTGTATTAATACGCGTTGGACTTATACGCGTTGAATATCCACGTGCTGGATCACTACGCGTTAGATATCGACACGCTGGATTACTACGCATTGCATTACCACGCATTAGATTTCTATGCTTAGAATGACCACGCGTTGCGTTATTATGCGTTGGATTACTACGCGTTGAATATGCACGCGCTAAGTTATTACGCGTTTGATATTCACACGCTGTATTACTACGCGTTGTATTACTACGCGTTGGATTACTACGCGTAGGATTACCACGCGTTGCAGTATCACGTGCTGGATTACTACGCGTTTGATATCGACACGCTGTATTACTACGCGTTACATTACCACGCATTAGATTCCTACGCTTAGAATGACCACGCGTTGCATTATTACGCGTTGGATTACTACGCGTTGAATATGCACGCGCTAGGTTACTACGCGTTTGATATTCACACGCTGTATTACTACGCGTTGTATTACTACGCGTTGGATTACT